TCTGTCAAAATGTTGTGTTTTAAAAAAAGAAATACTGGAAGTTTCAATGAGATCTTCGCACTAGACGTATTCTAAAATGTAAAGAATACAACCCTGGGGGTGCAAAATGACTCCAGGGCATACGGATAGGGTAAAAAGTAAACTGAAGCCCTCCATTCGAACGTACTTTATGTAAGTACATCCTTGATTTTCAATATACGTGGGGTCAGTTATCGGTTGTCTGGAAGTCATGTGCGAAGGTTGTTTTAATTTATTGTCAAACGTATAGGGGGAAAAAAGGGGGGGGGGGGGGATGTGGTATGTTTTTGAAGGGGCAGGGGGAGGGGTTATGTGGTATGTTTTTGAAGGGGCACAGGGGGGGGGAGATTTACTTTGTTCAGAGATAAATTTCAAAGTTCGGGGCTCCAGATTCTTGAAACCAGACATTTGTACTACAAAGTCTCTAGTTACGTTATTCTGTCATTATACCATACCCCCTTCTTCAATATACTGTGCTTTTCTGCTTTCTATTAAAATCTTTATACTCCTATACTTTATTCCCTTCCGGGGGTCTCTCGTAACCTAGTGGTTAAGGTGTTCGCCTCTCATTCAATAGGCCCCGGGTTCGAATCCGGAAATTTTTCTTTTCTAAAATTGTTTCCTTTCACCCCCTTTCCTGCTCTCTAGCACATTTCTGTCTTCTGCTTTCGTCTTCACTTTCTGCCCCCAGCACCCTTACCTTCTTTTCCCCCTTCCCCTGGGCTCCGAACTCTTTCTGCAGCCTTATTACTGCTATTCCTTGGCTTCTTCTTGCTGCTGTCTTTCAGTCACACCCCTGATCTTATGGTACTGGTAGGAAAGATCTACACCCATCCTTCTCGGACAAGGGCGAAAAAATCTCGGAGGTGCCGTGAGCAAGTTGCGCACATTAAAGATCCCTTGGCGGTCCAAAATTGATAAGAGTAGGCTTCGGCAGCCACCCTTGATAAATTCAAAATTTCCAACCAACTGAAAGTGTTTAATGTGTCCCGCACGTTCATATGATCGTATTCAGTTTCGAACGCCGTTAAACACTTACCCCCAAAAAATTAATCTAAAATTATACGCTTCCCTATCTCTTGTTGTTTTCTTTACTCGTTATTAAAATGAATGCCAAGTACTGGATACTGTATATTTATCTAGCTTAAACATTTTTATCGTTACAAATTGTTCCTTTATATCACATGTGTGTAGCAGTCGTTCTGTTGGAAAGTGTAAACATATAATTATTATGTATGTATGTGTATACATATATTTCGTGGAAGAAAGGGTGTGTTAGAAGGTGGGTAGGAATGTTTGTGTATGTGTATTTGTGCGCGAGGGTGTATGAGTGTATTTGTGTGTGTGTGTGCGCGCGCGCGTGTGTGTGTGTGTGTGTGTGTGTGTGTGTGTGTGTGTGTGTGTGTGCGTGTGTGTGTGTGCGCGCACGCGCGCGCTCTCTCACCTGCATGTGTATAGTAAAATATGAAATTAATGCGCCAGTGCCTGGATAATAAAGATTTTTTAACAGATGCCACAATTTTTGCCTTCAGAGTATCAATTATTTGCACCCCCGGGGCAGTGCCACCAACTGAAGTATCTTTAGGCCATTCCCAAAGGGGGGACATTTCTCGTTCTTATGCACCGTAGAATTGTAAATTGGCAGATTCAACAATGTCATGCTCATAACTGTGCCTTAACTACAACTGGGAATTGCTGCTTTTTCTTTCCAAATCCTTACTATCGTCATTTTCCCTCTACTTCTTTTGTAGGTTTGTCACACTTTTGTGACCCGCTATTTCCGGGGTGCCTTGATAGTCGAAGCAGACTTTGTGCTGTTTATGCTAGAGAGGTGAGCAGAGTAAGCCCGATTCCCTGTAAAGACTTCTCTGTTGACTTCCACCCCTTGGCGCTCATATATGTCCTTATGCAGTTGCGAGCGCCGTAAAACCTCTACTAAATAAATAAATTATATGCACAATATAGTTTGCGACTCATAGTAATTAAAATGACAAAATCACAAGCAATGGAATGAAGGTGCAGTCATAGTAATAACGCAGACAATCACACCGGCCTTTTTCTTCCTTCGTTTGACGTAAAAACGTACCTCAGATAGGATAAGGACTGCCACAGAGGGTCAATGCTCCGAAAAAGCGCTAGATTTAATTTTTTTTGTTGGAACCTACCCTCTTGTTCATGGCGCTGGTATGACCTTATGCATTTGCGAGCGCCGTAAAACCTCTACTAAAACAAACACTTCTTGCTCATTTTAGTATCGAGTGCACACTCTCCGTCCAATTTATTATATCATTAAGTCGAGACCTACCAGATTTTCTTTCATGGGTGGGACAAATGTTACCATTAACACACCATTCGACAGAATTCGACTGAATTTGATTGTGACCTTAGATACAAACAATCTGTCGTAGATTGGTATAAAGAGACTTAAAACTAGTTAAAAGGTGAAGCATATTTGAATAAGTGCTTTGTTTGCACCAGCTTTGTTTTGCATCATACCGAAATCCTTCCTATGTCGTGTGTCTGTCCGTCAATCTGTCTGCTCTCTCTCTCTCTCTCTCTCTCTCTCTCTCTCTCTCTCTCTTTCTCTCCCTCTCTCTTTCTGTCTGTCACTCTGTCTCTCTCTCTCTTGCTCTCTCTCTCTCTCTCTCTCTCTCTCTCTCTCTCTCTCTCTCTCTCTCTCCCTCTTCCTCTCTCTCTGTCTCTGTGTCTCTGTGTCTCGGTCTCTCTCTCTCCCTCTCTCTCTCTGTCTCTCTGTCTCTCTGTCTCTCTCTCTCTATCTCTCTCTCTCTCTCTCTCTCCGCCTCTCTCTCTCTCTCCGCCTCTCTCTCCTTTTTTTAAACCCGCATCCTCTCTCTCTTTTCTCTCTTTCTCTCTTTCTTTCTCTTTCTACTCATACTCTCTCTCTTTTCTCTCTTTCTCTCTTTCTTTCTCTTTCTACTCATACTCTCTCTATCTCTCTCTCTACTTTCTCTCTTTCTCTCTTTTTGCCGCCCCCCCTCCCTCACCCCCCCTCTCTCTCTCCCCCCCTCTCTCTCTTTCTCCCTCCCCCCTCCCCCCTTATCTTTCCGGGTTTCTCTTGACAGCGGAAAGACATCCCCCGCCCTCTACCCCTTTGACATTTTGCGCCACACAAAGTCCTCCTCATTCCTTCATGCTGCTAGATGAGCGGCCCGGGAACGGAAAATTATCGCACATGGAGGAACAAATGAATAACCTAGCAGGATCAATGAACTCCAACCCAAGTCATTCGATTTGACGGAAACAGGCTGCCAATAAGGTCAAGGCCGAGCCGATGATGATGTCAGCTACAGCTAGTCTCAAGCAGATTAACTCTTTGAGAATACTCTGATCTCACTCAAGGTTATTTATTTACATAAGAGCCGTAACGTCCTTGGCGAACTGATGAAATGGAATAGGCTTAACGCATCTATCAACAAAATTACGTTATTTAAGGGGCGCGACTCCCCTCCGAGTTTACCGTCCATCTCCGAAAGGACTGAGCCAAGTGGGAAATTGGTGTAAAGTGAGTGCCTTTTCCAAGGAGTAACGTCCTCGTTCGTACATATCGTTCAATTCTGTTTTATGTAACCGAAACTATAAAAACGTAATGCAATAACATGCATGCTATGAAATACGATAATGTTTCCTGATTTTTATATGATGGTTTGAAATGTGCAGCAACGTTGCTATAGTCTTTTTGCTGGCTGGTCGGACGTAATATGATTATTTTGCTACCTCCGAACTAAAAAGTTTTATCTGAAATGTTTGGTCGTACAAAGCAGTACAAAATCAATTCCACAAAGAACAAACGTACACACAAAAACGCACACTTACACACATACACACACACACACACACACGCACACACGCAAACACACACACACACACACACACACACACACACACACACACACAAACACACATACATATGTACTGATATATATATATATATATATATATATATATATATATATATATATATATATATATATATATATATGTATGTGTGTTATATTATATATAAAATGTATGTAAACTACATGTTAATGTAATCCAATAATTCCTCATTGAGGGAAAACATTTTGTGGAAATTATGAAACAGAAGAAATACAGATGATCCTCGTTTTAACCGTGGCTCAAGGCCCACACATGGAAAGGATTACTGCAGATCAACTAAAATTAAAATTTTATAAGCCTCAAAGAGGCATAAAACATAGGAAATATTTTTAGTTTCAACGTGTGGAATAAATATTTCTTAACAAGGACAAAGAGAAAACATTCATAGACAATACACAGACGAAAATCATTTACTTACATCTACCTAATTTAGAGAAACTGATACAAGATTACTCGTAAACGTTTTTAAAATAATAAGAAATCGGTGCAGTCAGTCTGCATTTATCTGCACTCCCCCAAAAAACCCAAGAAAAAACAACACAAAACAAAGCCAATAACCCTCCCCCCCCCCACAAAAAAAAAACAACAACAACAAAAAACAACAAAAACAACCCTCCCCCCAAAAAACCCAAAACAAAAACAAAACAGAACAGCTCAAAAACAGAAGAGTACAAAAAAGCAACAAAAAACCCCCAAAGCAAAGCAAACCAAACCAAACCAAAACACCCCCCTCCCCTCCCCTCCCCTCCCCCCAAAAAACAAAACAAACAAACAACAAAACAGCAACAAAAAATAACAAAATCAACCAACAAGATCCTTTTGAGTTGGACAGGTCATAATTTTCCAACGATCAGCCGTTACCACAATGTTCTCACCTGCTTAATTTTTGTAGAGGTTTTACGGCGCTCGCCACTGCATACGGTCATATGAGCGTCAGAAGATTAGACTAGGTGTCACAAGAGAGTAACACACATAAAAAAAGAAGAAGAAGAGGAGATAAGGACGATAGAATCTGATATCTCTTAGAAAACAAAGAAGCGAACCACACCAGAGCACCTGCAGCTGCCAACCATCCTCTGTCTCACCTGCATATTGAAAAGCTGCACGCCCACTCGGTAGAGCCAGATGACCAGCAGGGAGAGCAGGAAGCCACTGTCAGATGTGCACTTTGCCGCCAGGTACAACGAACACGAGGACGACCGTAGAGACTTGACCAGGAAGGTCCGAACGGCCAAACTGTTGCCCACTAGGCCGAACACACAGATCAGCTGAGGATGGTCAGAATTAATAGTCAAGAAGGCGTCGTGGGTTGAGGGGGGGAGAGGGGAGAGGGGAGAGAGAGAGAGAGAGAGAGAGAGAGAGAGAGAGAGAGAGAGAGAGAGAGACAGAGAGAGAGAGGATTACTATTTGGTAGTTTTCATTCATTCATTCATTCATTATTCATTCATTCATTTGGCAATTCACTTATTCACAATTCAGCCAGTCAAATATAATTAATTATTTCACTCACTTATCTATTTATTCAATCATGCATTGTATTACCCATGCATTAAAATTTTTGGTGTTTCAACTTTGGAAACGGGCTTAATCTCTTTTACTTTGTAGAAAATGATAACTGAAGACGAGAAGACAAAACGGGAAACGGAAAAGAGAAGGCAGGGAACAGAATATAAACGAGTGTTGATTCACAGAGAAGAAAAAGGGGGACAACAGTTTTGAGGTGGGATTGCATTAAGGTTAGGCTACAGGATACGGAATCGTGAGGTTGCGGGTTCGGGGATTCGAGCCGCGGGCCCGACGTTGTGTCCTTGGGAAAGGCACTGTAAACGAATTTTCCTCTCTTCACCCAGGTGGGAATGGGTACCCAGTCATAGATAGCGAAAGATCTTGTCAGTATGTTAGTGTTTTAGCACCTGTAAATGGCTGTTTGCACTGTATGCTTCCTGAGAAGTCGAGGTTGTTTCAGAATGCTCTCAGGTCTGCTGGGGTAATAGTATAGACTGTGAAGCTTATAGAGCTTGCTGTTGAGCGGGGATTTGAGCTATACAAATGCCATCTGTTATTATTATCTCTAGTAATACCTCTAATCTTCCGCACCTATATTATTATAACCCATTGTATTGCAAATGCTGTTGAAATAATAACTGCCATCGTAAATTATTCACTCCACTCATGTACTGTACCTTCTTGTAGTAAACATGCGATGGAAGTGCCATTTTTAAAGAAAAAATCTTTACCAACATGTGAGGTTAAGAACTTTAGGCTAGCCTCAATTTTTTTCCCATTTCCTTATACAATCCTTGAAAAAGTAGTCCATCGTTAACTAAATAATCATCTTGAAAGGTATGGTCTCATGGCTGCTACTGCGACCGCTGCTGCGACCTTGCTGGTGCTGGTGCTGATAGTGGTGCTATTGTCCCACTCACTCGTTCACTTAACCCTGTCCGTACGTCGTTTTTTTCTATCGTATCCATACAACGTGGGGAACTCTGTGCCACCACTTTCCAAAGAGGAAATCTACTCGTTAATCCGATCCGTGCGCTTTGCATAGCAGTCTGTCAAGATGGTTTTTTGAGAAATACTGAAAGTTTCAAAGAGATCTTCACATTAGAAGTATTCTAAAATGTGAAGAATACAACCCCGGGGGTACAAAATGACCCCAGGGCGTACGGATAGGGTTACTGTTCTGCAAGATAAAATCGCGTCCACAGAGAGAATCAAGCTGAGAGATGGAGCAGCAGGTGATATATCGAGTCAGTGTTGCTTTGTGACAAGCCATCGGTAAGGCTGCAAACTGCAACCCCCTAAGGGGATAGGGGATAAAGTGTCACTGTATCAGTTGTGCATTAATACGGACAACGTTGTGGATAACTAACTACTCGCTAGGTTGAGATGGCTAACAACAGCAGGGCAGATCAGATCTGGGGAAGACGCCTCTTTAGCAACTAATCTAAGCGAGCCCTTGTCAAACGTCAAACACACACACACACACACACACACACACACACACACACACACACACACACACACACACACACACACACACACACACACACACACACACACACACATTCACATAACTTAATTTTTTTTTGGATATCTTGAAATGAAAGTTATTCATGTTTGCAAATCTCCCCCCCCCCCCCCACCCCCCCAAAAAAAATTGTTGCTATTAAAATTTCTGTCAAGCCTCCCACGTTTCATTTTGTAATACTTTAAGGTCATTCTTCAGTTCTTTCTTTATCGCTCCTTCAAAGATCAGTTTAGTTTTAGTAGAGATTCTACGGCGCTCGCAACTGCATAAGGTCACATGGGCGCCAGAAGATTAGAGACGTTACAAGAGAGTAACAAACATAAAAAAGATGAATAGGAGATAAGGACGATAGATGTTTGATAGGAAAGAAGAAGCAAACCACACCAGAGCACCCGCCAATCACCCACTTCAATGATCAAAAGAACAGATTGCAGATTTCACCAGCCCTCGGGGTGATGTTGCGTAACCCAGTTTTCACGTCTGTACTGTCAATTTTTAAAAACTGTAACGGAAAACATTATCCAAGATGGGCACGGTTTGAAGAGACTCCTCGGAGCTTGTTCACGGTACACGATTACAAAGTTGTCGAATTTAAATGACGTATTAACCTGTGACTAAAATCAACCAAAATTGATGCTCTCCAAAGTCCTTAGATTTATGCTCCTCCTCTCTGTTTTCCAGCCCTATGGAGCTTAGTAGACGTCACAAGGCACTACGCTTACCTGTCCACTGTACAGTAGCATTTATCCTAGCTGGAAAGTGGCATGGCATGGCTCGAAAAAGTACCGGTTGTAAACTGTTCTGTATTTGTGTAATATTGTGTATTTATGTATGTATTTATGTATGTATTTATGCATGTACGTATTTATAATTATGTATTTATGTATGTAAATGTATGTTTGCCATTGTAAACCAAAGTGCCCTTGCGGAACAAATATAAGTGTAATTTATTTGTTTATTTATTTGTTTATTTATTTTAAACACTATCAAGTCATTTTATAAGGCGGTAGTCTCGACTTTAGCGTCCATCTCCGACGCGATTAAGCCAGGTGAGCGGAGAGCTTTAAAAAGTCCATTAGCAGCTCAAGTATCAGAATGCCCTCAGATGGACACAATCAGTCGGCCCCCACTGAAATGGACCCTCATGAAGAGGGGCGAGGAAGCATGGAGCATCCCGTCTTCCTAAGACCCCAAGTAATTCAAGTAAGTATCAGAAAGCATGATACCAACTCAGCGATACGCACATTCATGAATGGGTCAAAATCTAAGTGGTCTTTACCAGGAGCACAGTCAAAAGGGCTCTGCATGTTTGAGAGAGCAGGGGGCTCAAAGACTATATGTATTTAGTGACAATGCCATAAAGCAATCAGCGACGTCGAAATGGAAACTCCAAGTTCTTGGCGCCAGTTTCGAGCAATCAAATAAACAAATTGTGCTTTAAAAAGATCTTTGCTGAAAGGCTCTAAAAATGGTTCTGAGTTTCTGTCGTTCTAAAACACTTGACAATCAGAGTTACTTTTTGGGGCTGCAGAGTTGTACATTTGAAAAAATATTGTATAGGCACACGTATGGTCCCTTTTTCCATAGAAGGAAGGCCTCTTTTACTAGTGAAGAATTAATTGCACGTTTTGATATTTAGAAACGGATACGTTTTTATTACTTAAAATTAAAGTGCTTCTTCGTTGTTGAAAGAGTGTTGGCCTAGAGAGTTGTTGAGAAATCTAACTTTGCAGCTGAAATAATCTGTTAGGCTAAATTTAGTTCTGTTTTTGACAGCAAGCTTTGTACAGATCAAATGGCTTCTTTTCAGCTTTGGGGGAGGAGCCTCTTTTTTCATTGAACAAGCAACCATTCAGATGGTGACAAGAACATTAAAAAAAATAATTAACATTTTTTATGTCCCTTGCCCATTACTATGATATTCCGTAGACGTCATCTGATTAGTAGAAAAATGTGCGTATGATAGTGTCCAGTAGTGTATTACGTACATAATTGTTATAACGAGTAACTGTTGCATATAGATGTTCAAGATAATAATTGTACCATTATAGATGTATGTGAAGGATCTTAGAACATTGATGATTTTAGAAATGACGGTAGTGGTGCAGATAATTGATGATGTGGGATGGTGTTTATGTAAATAACTATACCCTATCCGTACGTCGTGTTTTACTATCGTATCCATACGATGTGGGGAACTCTGTACAACTACTTTCAAAGAGGAAATTTACTCGGTATCCGATCCGCACGCTTTGCATAGCAATCTGTCAAAATCATTTTTTGAGAAAAACTGAAAGCTTCAAAGAGATCTTCGTACTAGATCTAGAAGTATTCTTGAATGTGAAGAATACAATCCCGGGGGTACAAAATGACCCCAGGGCGTACGGATAGCGTTAAGAAGACTCTGAGAGTTTATGTTTTTTTTAAATGTTCGCGTTCGTCCTGTCTTCCTGTGCTCTGATGAGTCACGAGGGATGTGGGTACCCGCAATCCCGTTCCCTACTGGAACCATCTTTAATGTCACAAGTTAAAGTCTTAATAATATAAAGTAGTCACATTCTACTCCCTAACCATTTATCCCAGTTATTCCTTTCGACCCTTATTTAAACATGAAGTTGCGGAGATTCCGACACAGGATCCTTGAACCAAAGTCGAGAGGGAACAATTTACACACAATAGCGTATCCCCTCGCCTCAGGGGGAGCGGGGGAAAAGGAAAATCATTTAGCCTGTTTAAAATTCGCATCTATAAATGTTGGGTCTCTGGAATGGTTTTTCTTTTAGCCTACTTGTCCCTCTCTGTAATAAACACGTTCCCCTTTCTTTCAGTCACTCCCCCCCCCTTTCTCCACCTTTCCTGCGTCCCTCTCCTCCCCCCCCCCCCTTACGGCACCTACCGTGCGTGCCATAACCTCTACGCGGCCCCGGAAGACCCTGGGATATCCTCAGGCTGTGCAGGAGAGCAGAACAAACCAATCCAACTTAGGGTACTGCCGGAGGTCATCGTCCTGCAAACGGACGTTCGCCGAGCCTTTATTACGATTCCAGATTGACTGCCCGTTTCTTTCTCCGTAGCGAAAGATGCGTCGACAAACGATCAATCGAGTACGACACCGGTAATGGTAATGTATATTTCATCTGTGTAATCTTCGTATATTGGCGAGTCTATTGGGAAATCGTAAAAGTAGGTTACTTCGTAAATAAACAGTGCGCGTGAACGCCATACACGTGTTTTATCATATCCTAGATCAAGCACTCGGACATTATTCCAATTCGCTTTGGAGAAAACTATTTGATCCAATTGGGAGCCAAATGAAGGGCGGAAAGGGGTGGGGTTTTTTTTTTTTTTTTTAATTGTTGTTGTTTGTGGATTTGCTGTTTTTTTTTTTTGGGGGGGGGGGTCAGGTCAGGGGGAGATCGTAAGCACTCGATGATAACGAGAGCAATATTTTTCTCCTTTATTTGGGCACTGGTGGTGTGCAATCTTCGCAGTTCAGTGTTTATGGAGCGCAAAGAGGAGCCGCCATGACAGTGCATGATCTAGGATAACACAGTAGAAGTCTATGGCGAATTCTGAAAAGCTACACTGGAAAATAATAGCGGCCGGAGTTACCAAAGGGATATAATTGTGAAAACTACGCCTTCTATCCTATAATTTGGCAGCAAGTAGCATTCGATAGTGCGATCAAAAATTCGTGGTGCATCTTATCCTCAAATATCTCTTATTAAACGGGTGAATCAATGTCATTCATACTTTACATAGCAGTTCGTATCAATTTGTCTTAACTAAATCATATTTTTCCAAAACAATTGGGACAGGATTTAAAAACTTTTCTTCATAAATTTATATAAAATACTTGGAATCTCTGTCTCACGTAAAATGGTATTGTTCACAGCACGTCCCGCTTCTCACACACATTTTGATTACTCATATGGCCTACGTCACAGTTCATCAGTGACAATTTTTACTTGCAAAACAAGAAGTTATTTTATAGTGAACACATTTTTTGCACTAATGGTTCTCAGAACACGCGTTCAATAAGCATAATGTCCCGAATAGAAAAAGATGACGGACTTGCTATTAAAAGCAATATTGCCCCGGCTGTAAACATTTAAAAATCTGTAGAAGCCACCCACTTGGATTTTTTAATTAGTGTTTATTAAGGAATTTTCTAGAATACAGCTTGCAGGTGTTTACGAAAATGTTGATCTGTTAATACAAATTGATACAAGTCACTGTGAAAAAAATTGGAGTACCTATGCTGGATAGTTGAGGAGATATTTGACAATAAGTCGCGCCACGAATTTTTGACCGCAGTATAATTATATTTTTGGATGTTCGCCAAGCTTTTATACCTCGACAGAGAGCCACGCAATATTATTACGTAGTATCGCCAATCGCCTTTTGTACAGGGTGCTTCGATACCTTAGCCCCCCCCCCCCCTCCCCCCTGCCCACCCTCTTGGGTCAGCCAAAATTAGAAGAGATAACATAAAACAACGAACTATTTTTCAACTAAAGGTTTTTCTATTCTCACATCTGTAACTTCATACAATCATTTCAATATTCGGTATTCTTTATTTTAAAAAAAAGATATTATGTCTTTTATGTCATGCGCATTGAAAGAAAGAAAGAGAGAGAGAGAGAGAGAGAGAGAGAGAGAGAGAGAGAGAGAGAGAGATAGAGACAGAGAGACAGAGAGAGAGAGAGAGAGAGAGAGAGAGAGAGAAAGAGAGAGAGAGAGAAAAGAGAGAATATACACTAATGAACTCATCAATCTAAGAACATGACCGTGTAAACTGTCTTGTCAGAGATCAATAAAATATGTTCATTAAAATTAATTAATTAATAATTCATCTGTTCATTCATTTATTCATTGATTGATTGATTGATTGATTAATCCATCCATTCATTCATTCATCAACAACCAGAGAGATATGTATGCTTCCGCGGAAGCCGAGTATGTTTCTGAGTGTTCTCAGAGGGTCTGCTGGGGTAATAATAGTTATAAAGCGCATAGAGCATGCTCTTGAGCATGGATATGCGCTATATAAATGCAATTATTATTATTATTATTATTATTATTATTATTATTATTATTATTATTATTATTATTATCATTATTATTATTATTATTATTTCATTATTATTATTATTATTATTATTATTATTAATATTATTATTATTATTATTATTATTATTATTATCATTATTATTATTATTATTATTATTATTATTATTATTATCTCTGTACTAACCGGAAGCATGACAGTCTGCAAACGTCTAATGGCCACATAGAACTGAGACGACTCGGGGTTGAGAATGCTGTGGTTTCTACTTCCGCTTCCGCTCAGCGGCGTCAGATTGGTGGAGAAGTGACCCGAGCTATTGAACGCCATGTTGAACACGTCTGGGGAATACAACCGTAGAATGTTATCACATGAAACCTCAAGAGAAAAAGGGGGAAGGGGGCAGTTAGGGGGGGAGTAGTTAGGAGCAAAAACGTATTTTTTCAAATACGTTTGAGTTGTACTTACTAAGAAAGAAAAGGGTGGGGACGGGGATGGGGTGGGGGTGGGGTGGTGTAGGGGTGGCTTTATAGCACGAGGGTTGATCTAACATGAGACAAGCTATATATCTATAGGACCCGTGTAAAGACTGCGTTTTGAGATCTCTCAGAATATCATTACCTCTTCCATCTCTTTACTGGTGTTTACTTCTTTTACACCTAAAGAAAATGGTAAGACATGTACAAATTGTGAGGCGTGCTGACAAAATGAGTTACTTCTCGCAATCCACAAATCGATATTTGCCAAAAATCGACACTAGGGTTAGATTTGTAGATTTTTAACGGATGTCATATTCATTATTGAGCTACTGACAACGTATGTAAGATAAGATAAGATAAGATAAGATAATACTTTATTATCCCAGAAGACATTTTCCTTGGCTGTACAGGACAGTAAACACATGGTGGTATACATAAAAAATCTAAGTTATATTTTACTATAATTAAAATTCAACATGAAAAGAGAAGTAAAGCGGACAAAAAAGTACATATCACATCAGATGCATCATTCAACCACATGCAGGAATTTGATTACAAGTTACAAGACCTCTGGAGTTATATACTCCTAGATACGTACTATAAAAAGTAATACACATCTATGCTTATTCTGACAATAGCCTTATGCTAGATGGTAAAAACTTCTTTAATTTCTTGTGACAATGTGATGCGGTGTGATTTGATGTTCAGATCACACCGTTTCACCATTGCCCTGATTGTAGTTCTAATTCTAGTTGTGAGTCTGTGTCCCAGAACTCCTGAATAAAATAACAAAACTCTCTTACTGTTTGCACCTACTATCTTTGCATAGACAAAGCCCAGAAAGATGCTTACAAGAGGGTTGAAGGGCAATACACTAGGAACGAAGAAAGGGGATCGGGTGGATATGATTGCAAAAACGAACACCCGGCTTAAAACCTCATACGACAGAGATATAGGCACAATCACACACCGACACCCCAACACGTATCATCCACATAAACACTGAGAAAGAGAGAGAGAGAGAGAGAGAGAGAGAGAGAGAGAGAGAGAGAGAGAGAGAGAGAGAGAGAA